GGTTAAACTGTTCTATGATGACAAAAGCGCGGAAGGACACTTACCTCCAGGTTGGTCTAAAGGACCATCTGAGACCCGTCGGGGGGACAATGAAGTAATTTTAGACATCATATTGCTGTCGTCATGTTGTCTCAAAGTAAGCAATTAAGTGAAGAATACTTAAATGAAAAACCTGTATGATAAACTCAAAAATAATGTTGGCCATCACATTAATAATCTTTACAATTCATTCAAAATATTTCTCCAATTCTGATTGGCTAAAAGCACACGCATAATTCACCATAACCAGTTACTGGCGACCAAATTTGGAAGAATTTTGTGTTTAACGAGGAAATGTTAAAAATAGAGCGCGCTACAGGTCAAGGCACCGTTACCGAGAAGACCTGGGGAAGAGGTTGAGTTGTTTTGGTTGTGAAAAAAAAATGGCGGACATTTCGCTCGTTTCAACAGTAAGAACTACAGCTGGAACTAGGCGAAATAATTATATCCAAAAACATGGCAAAAACAGCAAGAAGACAACTCAGAGGGCGACATCTGCTATTTGGAGAATATTTGCGGAGCTGGACAAACCTAGATGTACAGTATCGAAGATGAACTTAACATTGATGCGGGTAAACATGTTCCCGCTATGTTTTACACTAGGAATTATTTTAAATGAATAATAAAGCAATCAATGAATTCGGCTTTAGTAGGATATGAAGAATTAAGCAGATCTCGGAGGTTGCTATCCACCTTGGCCTTCGGCCTCGGTAGATAACACCCTCCTCGATCTGCTTAATTCTTCATATCCTACGAAAGCCGAGTTCATTAATTGCTAATTAAACAATAGAAGTGATGTCATTCTCAAGTCATTTATTGTTAAAGGAACTGGACCCATACGCCATCTTGGATCCGCCATTTTGAATTAATTAAGTGTATTCCATTCTAGATCTCCCTGAGTACTATTTTAAGAGGAATGTAAAATAATGTAAATACATACAGATTCGTGAAAAGAGAGGTATAACTCTAGGAACGGGGTTGGTCACTAAAAGTTCAGAATAGTTTAACCGAAAACAAATATTGATCTTACCTATCAAATAACTCTCCATGTCATCCACCAAGCTGACTGCGGTGTTTTTGTACTCCTCCTTCTCCTTCTCCTCCTCCTCCTCGTCTTCTTTACATCTGTTTACCGGTCTACCAACAAACTCTCCCTTGGGGAGTTCCAATCGATTTTTGTCCTTGTTTAAGACAACACGGCAACACTGGAACAGGAATGGACCACGTGTATTCGCCCTTGTTGCTATATTTGGAGGGATATTCACATTTTTGTATTTTCCTTTTATCTGAGAGTGGACATGCCCGGGGATATTGATTCCTGCATCTGCTTCCACCTTTCGAATTGATACAAACAAGTTATTGAATAGAGTATTTTTGCAGACGCAATAGCGAAATTTTAAGTAAGCCTGGCCCGGGGGGAAGGGGGCGTATTCCGGATCTCAAGTGACGGGGATAATAGAAATTTTCTATTCCGGGATTTTTTGGGGTAGGAAACTTTGGCGGCTTGATTTAAAAGAGATTTTTTGGGTATTCAACATTATCTGAAGATTTGTGGTAGTGCCTGCGTATCCCCGCCTCGTGGTTCTGCGAATCACAACCAAACCTGTTTTGAGGCTGTTTTAATAGCGGAGCTCTCGCGTGCGCGAAGGGCGCGTAGAGGAACACCATGGGTAAGAAAATTTGGTAATCTATGCATCCAAGAAATTTTGGTTCTGAGAAGATCGACCGTGAGGCGTACGTTCCTACGTACGTCCACCCCCTCATGTAAGCCGCGATGAAATTTTGCATTTCAAGCACTCGCACGTTTCGACACGTTTCGGCGGTAAATCGGGATCAGTTTAGTTATCTGGGCAACCGAGCTCGATACGAGTTTGTCGAGCTCGATATGTCAACCGGCTTCGATAAACAAATCGAGCTCAGGAAACCGAGCTCGATACGGGTTTATCGAAGTCGATATATCAACCGGCCTCGATGAACTAATTGACCTCGGGAAACCGTCCTCGATATGTCGATACCGAGCTCGAAATGTCGAGGACGGTGAAGCAAGGACTCTCACTTTTCCGGGGGGACAAGTAGAATGTTATCGAGCTCGATAAGCCTCACTATCGCGCTCGAGTTCTCGTAACCGCGTTTAAATGGACCGAGCTCGGTTTACGTTAACGTGTGGCTAATCGAGCTCGGTCGCCTAGAACTAGTTTTCTGGGGGGGGGGGGAGAGAGAATTGTCGAGCTCTGTCTCATGCAAGTCTTAGTAAGTCCTGGATTACCGATATGAGTGTTTCAAATTTTCATTGAATCTAGCCAAATGTGGCCAAACCTTTAATTACTTGTCATAGAGTCTGTTTCGCTCGAAAGCCCTGATATAAAACGGTACTGGGATAGTGGATCTTACCGCATTTTTTAAAATGAGTATTGCCTGGCAATTACAAGCACTGAAAGTCAGAAACCGCTTGCAGCGTTAAACCTTTTTTTTCTCACAACTTCGAAGTTGTTGCAGTATATGAAAAGGAAACGATACGATACTTCTCTACATTCGCTAATGCCCCTCCTTTTTTTTGTAGCGGTCAGTCACTGCTTGTCTTTGCCTTTAGCCCGCCCCAAGCTTAATAAAATACGGGGTTTAAGGCTTTTAAAGTCTAATGATGTAGCCTTCTTATAAGTTAAAAATAAAGTGTTTATTACATGAGTTGCATTTACGTTGTCTTTTCAATTTTTATCAAAAAGCGATTGATCTTGTTACATAGCGGAAGTAGCAAACTGTTATTGTACACTTATTGTAATCGAAAATAATCACTTACAATTCCTGTCTATATTTCGTATGTTGTCATCGTTTTGACACTAATTTGGTGAAAGTCAAAATGTACTTATACAAGATCAAAATAACATCAACGTCTTAGCTAGTGTTGTTAATAAAGAGCAGGCTCCAGTTGTTCAAAAGGTGGATAGCGCTACCCACCGGATAAAGAATAAACCATCGCCGGGATGGTGGCAGTGGCCTTGGTTTTCACTGTTTAGCTATTTATCCGGTCGATAGCGCTGTCCATCTTGTGAACAACTGGGGACAGTTCAATAATATCTCGGCATTAACCTTAATGAGACAAACAATAACTAAAATGTCTTTCATTCAGTCTATCTACATATTCATTTTTCCACCAAAGAATTGACCTGAATTGAACGGGCAAGTTGGAGAAGGAGCTAAACTGGGACCAAGCCCAATTTTACCAGTTCTCATAATTCCTCTTTACGTGGTCTCGGTAAAATTGGGCCTTACCCAAAGACTCACAAGCCACGTAATTTATCGCATCACTGTTTAGTTTGGTTTGAGATATATATCCTTTGAAAAAGATCGCGAAATATTGCTCTGAGATTTTTAACGATCTATGTGCTGAAAATCGGGGAAAATTACCGAGGAGAATGTCATGTAAAATAGAAAGATCTTCAACATCTCCTCGAAAGAAGTAAAATGGCACAGCTAACCGTTTTATTTTTAAATGAGAAATGACAAAAAGCTACGTGTAAGTCAGCAAGTCTGCATTTGTATGAAAAACTGGCATACTAACAGAAGCATGCTACGGAGGTAGTTCATTCTACGAGGGTGTCAGGAACAGATCCAGAACTTTTTCTTTGGGGGGGGGAGGGCACAATATACGTTAATTGAGTTCAAATTCTCTTGTAGTTGTCCCAAAACATTCACATTTTGGAAGGACGAAATGCAAACGCAAAAATTTGGATTTGATCTGGATTGACTGGACTGGATGTGATCTGAACTGATGGGACTGGATTTGATCTGGACTGGCTGGACTGGATTTGATCTGGATTGACTGGACTGGATGTGATCTGAACTGACGGGACTGGATTTGATCTGGACTGGCTGGACTGGATTTGATCTGGATTGACTGGACTGGATTTATTCTGGACTGGTCGGACTGGATTTATTCTGGACTGGTTGGACTGGATTTGATCTGGACTGACTGGACTGGATTTGAACTGGACTGGTCGGACTGGATTTATTCTGGACTGGTTGGACTGGATTTGATCTGGATTGACTGGACTGGATGTGATCTGAACTGACGGGACTGGATTTGATCTGGACTGGCTGGACTGGATTTGATCTGGATTGACTGGACTGGATTTGATCTGGATTGACTGGACTGGATTTATTCTGGACTGGTCGGACTGGATTTATTCTGGACTGGTTGGACTGGATTTGATCTGGACTGACTGGACTGGATTTGAACTGGACTGGTCGGACTGGATTTATTCTGGACTGGTTGGACTGGATTTGATCTGGACTGACTGGACTGGATTTGAACTGGACTGGTCGGACTGGATTTATTCTGGACTGGTTGGACTGGATTTGATCTGGACTGACTGGACTGGATTTGAACTGGACTGGTCGGACTGGATTTATTCCGGACTGGTTGGACTGGATTTGATCTGGATTGACTGGACTGGATTTGAACTGGACTGACTGCACTGGATTTGATCTGGACTGATCGGACTGGATTTGATCTGGACTGGTTGGACTGGATTTGATCTGGATTGACTGGACTGGATTTGATCTGGACTGACTGGACTGGATTTGAACTGGACTGGTCGGACTGGATTTATTCCGGACTGGTTGGACTGGATTTGATCTGGACTGACTGGACTGGATTTGAACTGGACTGATCGGACTGGATTTCATCTGGACTGGTTAGACTGGATTTGATCTGGATTGACTGGACTGGATTTGATCTGGACTGACTGGACTGGATTTGAACTGGACTGGTTGGACTGGATTTGATTTGGATTGACTGGACTGACTGGACTGGATTTGATCTGGACTGGTCGGATTGGATTTATTCTGGACTGGTTCGACTGGATTTTATCTGGATTGACTGGACTGGATTTGATCTGGACTGACTGGACTGGATTTGAACTGGACTGGTCGGACTGGATTTATTCTGGACTGGTTGGACTGGATTTGATCTGGATTGACTGGACTTACTGGACTGGATTTGATCTGGACTGGTCGGACTGGATTTGATATGGACTGGTTGGACTGGATTTGATCTGGACTGACTGGACTGGATTTGATCTGGACTGACTGGACTGGATTTGATCTGGACTGGCTTAAGTGGGTTTGTGTGTGGTGTGGTCTGGCTAACATGGTACTACTGTGGACTGGGTGGACTAGGTACTTCGGGTACATAAATAGTAGGGCAAGACTTGCTTAAGCAAATAAAACAAATAATTTATTAATATCATGAATTTCCATAAACAATAATCATTAAGCGTTGATAAATAATTCTAAACACAGTAAAGTCGATTAAAGATTAACTTGAATGTAGGTAAGCTTAATTTAAATGTTAAATTGCCCGAAGTTCCATTCGAATGTCTTCCCAGAGGAAGTATGACAGTAGACCTTTCTACTGTCATACTTCCTCTGTGCCTTTTTTTTTTGTAGGTTACATTTGGACCAGTAGAGGCGAGGTCAACTGATGATTTGTCGGCTACAATTGAAGATCCGAAGGAAGACGGTATGCGAAGCTTTTTAAGTAATTCTAACAATACCTTATTTTACATCTCCTAGGAGAATCTTTTACCCGTAAATGGTTATGTTTCATTGAAATCTTAGACTGAATTTATGACCGTTCTACCACGCTCTGTTGTGCAACAAGAGAAAAAAGGCCTCAGTCTGATAATGTATTTATCGATCTGCCCATTCATTAACAGAAGCTGCGGGAAAACCAGGAGAGACGAGGTCAACTGATGATTTGTCGGCTACAATTGAAGATCCGAAGGAAGACGGTATGCGAAGCTTTTTAAGTAATTCTAACAATACCTTATGCTACATCTCCTAGGAGAATCTTTTACCCGTAAATGGTTATGTTTCATTGAAATCTTTGACTGAATTTATGACCGTTTTACCAAGCTCTGTTGTGCAGCAACGAGAAAAAAAAGAGCTCAGTTTGATAATGTATTTATCGATCTGTCGATTCATTAACAGGAGCTGCGGGAAAAGGAAAAAAGAGAAAGAACAAGAAGAAGAAGAAGAAAAACAAAAAGAAAAACAAGAAGATTAAAATCACTCCAGTTGGAGACTCAGGGGCAGATCCAGGAGCTTAATTGGGTGGCTAGAAACTCACCTTTATAACAGCCCACTAAAAAGAATATAAACTCAAAAAATCTACAAAGCCGATCAGCTTCACGGTGACAATAAAAGACCAAGCACCTGAATTTACGACCAAGACATAAAACCATTAATAATATGTATTTAATTTTTACGTTTGCATTTCGTCCTTCCAAAATGTGAATGTTTTGGGACAGCTACAAGAGAATTTGAACTCAATTAACGTATATTGTGCCCTCCCCCAAAGAAAAAGTTCTGGATCTGTTCCTGACACCCTCGTAGAATGAACTACCTCCGTAGCATGCTTCTGTTAGTATGCCAGTTTTTCATACAAATGCAGACTTGCTGACTTACACGTAGCTTTTTGTCATTTCTCATTTAAAAATAAAACGGTTAGCTGTGCCATTTTACTTCTTTCGAGGAGATGTTGAAGATCTTTCTATTTTACATGACATTCTCCTCGGTAATTTTCCCCGATTTTCAGCACATACATCGTTAAAAATCTCAGAGCAATATTTCGCGATCTTTTTCAAAGGATATATATCTCAAACCAAACTAAACAGTGATGCGATAAATTACGTGACTTGTGAGTCTTTGGGTAAGGCCCAATTTTACCGAGACCACGTAAAAGAGGAATTATGAGAACTGGTAAAATTGGGCTTGGTCCCAGTTTAGCTCCTTCTCCAACTTGCCCGTTCAATTCAGGTCAATTCTTTGGTGGAAAAATGAATATGTAGATAGACTGAATGAAAGACATTTTAGTTATTGTTTGTCTCATTAAGGTTAATGCCGAGATATTATTGAACTGTCCCCAGTTGTTCACAAGATGGACAGCGCTATCGACCGGATAAATAGCTAAACAGTGAAAACCAAGGCCACTGCCACCATCCCGGCGATGGTTTATTCTTTATCCGGTGGGTAGCGCTATCCACCTTTTGAACAACTGGAGCCTGCTCTTTATTAACAACACTAGCTAAGACGTTGATGTTATTTTGATCTTGTATAAGTACATTTTGACTTTCACCAAATTAGTGTCAAAACGATGACAACATACGAAATATAGACAGGAATTGTAAGTGATTATTTTCGATTACAATAAGTGTACAATAACAGTTTGCTACTTCCGCTATGTAACAAGATCAATCGCTTTTTGATAAAAATTGAAAAGACAACGTAAATGCAACTCATGTAATAAACACTTTATTTTTAACTTATAAGAAGGCTACATCATTAGACTTTAAAAGCCTTAAACCCCGTATTTTATTAAGCTTGGGGCGGGCTAAAGGCAAAGACAAGCAGTGACTGACCGCTACAAAAAAAGGAGGGGCATTAGCGAATGTAGAGAAGTATCGTATCGTTTCCTTTTCATATACTGCAACAACTTCGAAGTTGTGAGAAAAAAAAGGTTTAACGCTGCAAGCGGTTTCTGACTTTCAGTGCTTGTAATTGCCAGGCAATACTCATTTTAAAAAATGCGGTAAGATCCACTATCCCAGTACCGTTTTATATCAGGGCTTTCGAGCGAAACAGACTCTATGACAAGTAATTAAAGGTTTGGCCACATTTGGCTAGAAAACTAGTTCTAGGCGACCGAGCTCGATTAGCCACACGTTAACGTAAACCGAGCTCGGTCCATTTAAACGCGGTTACGAGAACTCGAGCGCGATAGTGAGGCTTATCGAGCTCGATAACATTCTACTTGTCCCCCCGGAAAAGTGAGAGTCCTTGCTTCACCGTCCTCGACATTTCGAGCTCGGTATCGACATATCGAGGACGGTTTCCCGAGGTCGATTAGTTCATCGAGGCCGGTTGATATATCGACTTCGATAAACCCGTATCGAGCTCGGTTTCCTGAGCTCGATTTGTTTATCGAGGCCGGTTGACATATCGAGCTCGACAAACTCGTATCGAGCTCGGTTGCCCAGAAAACTAAACTGATCCAATAAATCGCATAGCTTCTCGGACTTTTAGCAATAAAAACAACAACAACAAAGCTGATTCTTTCTTTCGACTTAATTTTAATGTCTACATTGTCGTGGATAATAGAGAAAGAGCTAGAGCGAGAGTAAAAAACAAAGGAGACCAATTTCGTCGAAAGAAAAACATCAAAATTTTATAACGACGGTGAGGAAAAGGGGAAATGCTAGCGGCCATCAAGGTGAAAATGAGAGGCATCGAAAGAAAAAAGTGAACAGGAACACATAAAACGTGCAAAAAATAATAATAATAAAAATAATAATTAAAAAAAAATAACAAAAGCAAAATAAAAGCAACAAATGACACCTAACCAAACTCGTAACCTCCTTACCCTAATCTTAACCTCACTCTAAAGCCCGGTTTCCATATGATCGTCCCGATCGCCCTAGTCGTTTCAAAAAATTTAAAGGCGATCAGAACGACTGATATTTATATATATTTACTGATTGGTAGTTTCCATATGATCGCTCAGACAAGACACGCGGGGTCGTCAGCGATGGCTTTGGGTGAGACTCATAGAATTTTTGCGCGTGTTTCGCAAAAAAGCCAAACATAATCATGGGTTTTAATCGAAGAGCGAACTTCGTGCCTCGCTATCTGCTTTTTCTCTTATTTTTTTTAATATTATTATTTTTTTTTTTGAGGCGTTGAGTTCCACGACTGTAGTATCATTTCGAGAACTTGATGTCACGGACTTTATCTAATTTCAAATAGCGCCCATACGTGGTGCGAACATTTGTTTTTGTTTTTTGTTTTTTTCGACTTAAGCGCCGTCCAGACCGAATTTATTCTCGATTACTGGAATAAAAGTGATGATTTCTGGGATAGCCTTCGATCGTCCCAATCGTCTCAACTGTCTGAGAGCGTTTCCATATGATCGCTACAAAATTAACACGATCGTCCCGATCGTCCATATAATATTTAACAATTATTCGCCGAAGGCGAAGTTAATATTGTCGTCTCGGGGATTATTCAACAATATTAACTGAGCCTGAGGTGAATAGTTGTTTTAGTATATTCACACGAAGTGATCTCAACAGAATCAGAGAGGAAACCATTAAAAAACGGTTAGTTTGATTGACGGGTGAATTCATGCGTGAACACGAAGCCGTAAACAGTGGATGCGCAAAAGTTAGATCTTTACAGTATCTTCAAACATGGCAAATGATAGTTTTAATCTTTTTGTATCGAGTTTTGTAAGCTTTAGCATCAACGGTTTAAAAGAAAACGTCGAAAATTTAAATTACTACCCAATTCTGAGGAGAAAAGTAGAGTTTTATTTGTTTCTGTCAACTCACCGTGAATGAGAAAGATAGTTTTCTTTGTCGCTTCTTGCAAATCCTGTCAACAGCGGCTACGATCAAGGTGAGCGTTGTTTATCTCCAAAGTTCTTTGCCTTGTTAACTTGCTGGCACGTACAATGTTCGAAAATATTTGCCTTGAGTTCCTCTTATCTCCATAAATTAACCTCCATTTATAGGCAAAATTGGTCTTGCGAGAAAATCCCGAAATAACAAAACAGTCCAAAGCGACCTCGTTTTCCTCTGTACTGGTAAACATAGCTTGGAGCCGACAAAAATTCAGCTACAGTAAACCACTTCACAATAAATCACGCTGCTTAAACACCATGAAGTCTTGTCTTGCTTTCAAAGTCATCAGCACTTGGATATTCGTGTGTTTTCAAAAAGGCTTTACTATAAAGCTTTGGCAAAACACCCAGTTCACGACAGCGATTTTGTTCTGCTTTATATTCACCGCCTAGCGCGGTGAATATAACGTCATAGTCTGAGATAGCTAACCAATCAGATTGCTTGAATTACCAAGATCACTGAGTGTGTATATACTAACTAGATTTAGCCAGGGCTAAAAGCGAAGCTCCAGTTAATAAAAAAATAATTTAAATCAAACAATAAACTTTTAATCCACAAATCAGTTAACTTAAGGGCACATTCATGTGACTTTGGTGGGAAAGGCTAAGTTATTTTAGAGTGAAACATCTTACATCGAATTGATAGCCTTATATGTACACCCAAACATAGCAAACATCTTCGATCACATTCAAGATCACAGTAGATTTGGCCTCGAAAACAAATTCTTGGAAAACAAATCTGGCCGAATTTTTTTGCGTTCGACAGGTTTGCTTTACAAATTCTTGCCAACCAATCTGGGGGTGTCTAAATACGGCAAAAAAGAGCAAAATCTGTCCGAGGTCTATAAAATCAAAAGAATGTCTCATGGTACTGTGTATCTCAGATGTGATGTATAAAAAGAATAAAAGGCTGACACGCCACCAGATTTGTTGGCAAGATTTTGTAAAGTAAACTTGTCGAACGCAAAAAATCCGGCCCGAGTTTGTATTTTGTCCTCGCTTTTACGCAAGGGAATGCAACCTAGAAACAGTACTGCAACGTGTAAATTGGCTGCCACCAAGGACTATCGTGTCTTATAATCGGTCTTTATAGCTTAGAATTATATTTCGGGGATGTCCAATTAACCTTATTGTAAAAAAGAAAGGTGGTCGTAGGTGGGCGATTAGGTTATTTTGTTTAGGAAGAATTTGTTTTCTAGACCTAATCTACTGTGATCGAAGATGATTGCTATTTTTTGGGTGTACATAAAGACTATGAAGTCGATGTAAAATTTGTTTAACCCTTGAACTGTTTGCAAATTCTTTTTCTCTAAAGTCACTTAGCCTTTCCCTCAAAATTCACATGAATGTTCCCTAACGCTAACTGATTTGTGGATTACAAGTTTATTGTTTGATTTAAATTCTAAATTTATCAACGGGAGCTTCGCTTTTAGCCCTGAGGTTTTTTGGGGGGGACTGATTTTTGGTCCAGGGAATTTTGGGGGGTTTTGTTGAAAGGCAGTAAGTATATTTTGGGGGTTTGATTTTTGTCCCCCTTCAATCATCCCGGACAATTGAAATCCGGAGTACCCCCTTGATGGCCCTGGCGTTTAGAGCCTGATTACATCAGCCGGACTGGCTTGCTTTTGTGAAGCCGACTTTTATCCCGGTATAACGCCACCCCGATACCGGCATCTCAGCTAAACTGGCAAAGTTGGTTGCATGTAATCATAACACAGGGTTCATTCTTGCACTTAACCTCCTTTTCGCGTTTTGAGAAAAGAGGGCCAACCCGGTTTTGTAATCATGGTCCTAATCTGGTAAACAACAAGCTCAGAAACAAGACAGTGACATGCAGTAAAGTTTTATGAAGATAGAAGGAAAGTGTTGCAACTTTCCCGAGCTTAAAACTTTCATTGAACAGCAACAGGCCATTAACTTAAATCAACAAATCTCTCCAATTAACTTCATGTAACTCAAAAACCAAAACAGCTAATCACAAGCAACTTATACCCACAGCGTCAATAAAATGGGGGTGACAACAAGAGTCTTAATTACATGTATCTATCTCCCTTTTATTCTCTACCGTGTAATTCAACACTATATAATAATAATAATAATAATAACAACAATAGTAATAGTTAGAACAAGAGGAAGAAAAAGATAGTTTTCAACGGCTAAAATACCTCGTATTTTCTGTTGCCTTTAACTGCAAATCGCTCACTGTAAATCACTGAGGTTATCAAACGCAGTTGTTGGCCTTCAAACACTCCTGTTTTATTAATATCTAGTTCTGTTTTGGCCAACACGTCACGTAGGTCTGGGTCAAGTATGTATTCCTGATCAATTCCCCCTAGCTCTAGGGATCCCAGATCTTCATTTATCTCGATCGCAAAGTTGGCAATTTTAGCAACGTGGGCTCCAACTGCTAAGGTGCTGAATCAAGGAGCAAAAAAAATTCGTATGAGGAACAATTTAGTCTGCGTGTATGTTACACACAGGACAGAATGTTACTACTGTACTATTGGGTAAAATTGCATCAATAGAAAAATGAATACATTGACGCTAATTAAGAGAGGAGACTTTTTAAAACTGATTACATTCTACAGTATTTCTTAAGGGAATAAAGAGTTGGAATGACTTTCGTAACACAAAACATTCCCTCTACGAGGTTATAATCCCTCAGGTTCATGAGAGTTGATAATCCTCTCCAGGAGGTGATAGCCCCCAGGGTAGTGAGAGGTGATAATCCTCTGTCTGAGTGATAATCCCCCAGGGTAGTGAGGGGTGATAATCCTCTGTCTGAGTGGTAATCCGCTCAGGAAGTGAGGGGTGCTAATCCTGTCTTGGAGTGATAATCCCCCAGGGTGGTGAGAGGTGATAATCCTCTTTCGAAGAGATAATCTCTCAGGGTAGTGAGGGGTGATAATCCTCTGAATGCATGATAATCCCCCAGGGTAAAGAGAGGTGATAATCCTCCCTCAGAGTGATAATCCCTCAGGGTCGTGCGGGTGCTAATCTTCTCTCGGAGTGATGATCCCCCCAGGTAGCGAGAGGTGTCAATCCTTCCTCGGAGTGATAATCCCTCAGTATCTTGAGAGGTAATAATCCCTCAGGGTCATGATAGGTGATAATCCTCTCTAGGGGGTGATAATCCCCCACGGTAGCGAGCGTTGAAAATCCTTCCTCGGAGTAATAATCTCCTGGGTACAGAGGGGTGAAAAGGGCTCTGTTGATTACCAATTCCCTGGATTAAGGAGTAACAAGAGTCTATGGGGCAAAGGTCACAAGTATGGGAGCTCTTCATTGTAAGACCATGTTCAACTAATATATACAGGTACGATCCCTAATCTTAGTTATGACTAGGTGTCTTCTACCCGTCACGAAAAAAACCTTCTTATTTTAGGAGGAAACCTGAATCCTCCCGAAGGAAGACGCAGAAACTTCATAAGAACCTCGGGGGAGAGAAGCTGAACTAAAATATGTTAAGAGTGGTTGTCAGAGAAAACCGGGCAAAATGTTAAAAATGTCAACGGAAGGGGGTCAACAGAATAAACTCATACTAACATCATAGATAGGTTAGGTGGAGTAATGGACAAATATAATAAACATAGGTTCTTCACTACTCTTGTATTAGAGATACGAGCATCACTTTATTTGACCCCCTCGGACGCCATTTTTGTAAGCAAATTTTGACTATTTTCTGAAGCTCACAAACTCCTCAAAATTAAACAAGCGAAGTTCATTTTTTGTATACGATACAACACAACACAGGACTATCTTCGAAAACCATAAACAGTGTTAAGTAGCTAGGGGCAAGACTAAAACTTTCTTATTTTACTTGACCTAAACTCAGTGTCTGCAAGCGAATCAAAAATCGGTCGTTTTTGAATTGACCTGTAGCGCACAACTAAAAGGATAATAAAACTCTGACAGTCAAATTGCAGTCTACAATCATCCATGTTACCAAAACACTAATAATCATTTTGGCTCGTTGGAAAAGAAAGAAATTAGAAAACTCACATTTGCCATAGGTACCAACCTTTTTCTTGAAAATAGGCCGATCCCTTCTTGTTTGTTTTAAGTCCTCTTCGTGATTTTTGTTCCCTATTTCGCTGTCAGCTATGGTCAGCAGGTAGAGGAAATATCAAAAAGTTCGAAATACTGTCACTGTAACATCTTGGAACGGCAAAAAGTGCTAAACCATGGGATAAAACTAGAAAATAACAAAGCGACGCCATCTTGAAAGTTAAGTACTCGGGAGGGACTGGCACTAGTAGTTGACAAGACGACGAATAATCACGAATAATAAGGTAAAAGACAGAAACAAACGACTCAGTAAATAAATGCACACTTCTTATACAAATCACAAACAAACCCTTATCAGCTACTTGCTCCAATATTACTTCTCTGTTTACTACATTTGGTTCGTTCACTTCTGGGTTGTCATTTTTTGCGGAGTTAATGGAGTGGAGAATATAATGGGCGATGGGCTATTAACCTGGGACTTCTCTTTCTGTTTGAGAGGCGAAAAAGAAAACTAAGAACTCCTGATCGCAGGTTAATGGGTGATTAACTCGACGTACTTCATCCCCTCTTCATTTTGAGTTATCCCGTGTATGTGGATAACATTTACCTTATGGTGTACTGGGAGTCAATTCACCTCGTTTCATAGCTTGCGCAGGAGCCCTTTTTCAGGTCTGTAGGTTTTGCGGTCTGGTTTGTGGGACTTATAAGGTATTCAAAATTCGCGCCAAAATTGTTCTAAAACTAAACTTGTTAGTTAAAACGCCGTGACACGACTACATAGAAGCTGCTCGCTCCAGGTTATGGGCTCCTGCGTGACGCAAATAATTGGGAGCTGCAATCTAGATATTCACAAGACGATTCAGAAGACTACGCACAATCGGCCTATTCTGAATGGACGGCTACTGTAGAAGGCAGTTTTAAGGTACTGTTCCTTGTGCAGCCGTTTTAAAACTTTACGGTATAATGGGGGTGAATTCATATAAATGTCAGTGGGAAGTGAGGGTTGGTCATAATTTTTTAGTGACCAGGAGGGGTAATTGGGTAAGAGCTAGCTTTCCTTTGTTGGCAGGTAAGGTTACATACTATTACCCTAGTCCCTCCTGTCCCTTACATAATCTTATCTTTTCTTGTGATAACGCTCTGTGAAAAGAGATTCACTGAAAGCAACGTGGTATAGGTAATTTTACACTTCAGTCTTGTCTCACTTCGTTTTATGATAAAAGTCTTTGGTTTTGAAATGAGTACGCGTGTTCTAATCGCAGGGAAACACAGAAACCCCATTTAAAGTAGAAAACGAAATAGCGAACACTCAGGGATAGTAGATGACAGCAAAAAAAATAAGGAGTTGTGTTTCATAACTCGGTGCAACACAACGTCACAAGAGGACTATTGGAAAAAAGGGAAGTTTATAATTTGCCAGATTCAGTATACTATTCAAGTAAATTTGAGTTACCCTATCTGTTATGATGACCACGACATTATTTGTAGTCTTAAAAGGCAAGGAAAAAAATTGCAAGGAAAATTTAAGATCTTGATGGGCTATGCATGCGTTTCGGGTAGTTATCGCTGTTATCGAAGGGCCTGTTGGTCTTACACACAGAAGTCATAATGTTTCTTCATCTGAGGCCCTTATAACCGGTTTTGATTTTTCTCGAAACGTTTATACTGCGTTAAAGTCCCGGGGGGGCACTTGGGTATTTTTTGGGTGGGTATGTGCCGCCCGGGACTCCAAATTGGCACCAAAAAAATTCCCCTAAAATTGATACCCCGTTCAAGAAATGGGCCAATTTTTCATACCCAGTTCTAAAATTCGCCCTAAAACTGATACCCCGTTCTAGAAATGGGCCATTCTCCGTTCTAGAAAGTTTGTAAATTGAAATAGCCCTGTTTTTTTAAAAAAGATATTTCTTTATTTGTTCGATTTGCTTCTTCATAATCAGCAACAATTTTAAGCAGAAGATAAAGCCGTGATCCACAATTTTTTATACCCCGTTCTAAAAAACGCCTCTGAAATGGATACCCCGTTCTAAATCAGGAGCTTCAAAATCACGACCCCGTTGGGCGGCACATACCTGTATAGGTAATGTATGGGAGTACCCCCACCGGGGTTAAAGTACTCCTTCGGACCAATTTAAGTCCGGAACTACTAATCTGGAAACTGGAGCTCAGTAGTATAGTAGGGATGGGTTACTTGTTTTTTTTTGCGGGGGAATCACATTAACTTGTGGGGGAATACATTAACGCCGATAGCGTCATAACCTTTAGTCTTTATCTCATAAATAAAATGCGCAGGAATCTCATTAAGATAACGTCGTGTGCTATTTTTAGTTGATTTAACCGGTTTTACAGTTTTTTTTAGTAACTTTAAGGTCTATAATTTCGATTGGTTGATTAGAAAATAAGAAACCGCTGTATACAGGGTCTGCGAATTAGTGCAGAATAGCTTTTGCGCACTAATAGCCCAAGTTCGATATTTTAAAATTCTAACATGACTCCTAGGCTTTAGGGACAAAATTGCAAATTTTTCACGACTTCATTGTCTCGCAATTCCCAGAAGAGACACGAGCAGAAAGAAAACAAAACCAAACGTAGAAAAATGACCAGAAAGCCTCGGAGTCATGTTAGAATTTTAATATATCGAACGTGGGCTATTCGCAGGCTAGACGGACTATACCAATGGTCCAGGTTATGCCTGCGTAGGCCGGCTGCATCGCAGGCTATGAGCGCTTTCCATTTGCCAAACTAAACTCCTATGATAAGTGGAATGATCAAGACAAAAAGAAGGCGACATTGTTCTACTGAAACAACGTTTTCAATCGCATCGAAACGATCCATTTGCGTTTCAACTGAAATTTTGATTGCTGCTTAGCACGGTAGGACTGAAAACGAAAATTTTTGGAAATGGAACGGGAAGTTTCGGTCAGATCGGACCAACAGTCCAAGAGGACCACCTCTGGAGGTGGACAATTTTGACCGGAAAATTTCTACGCAGACCAAAGCGTCCCATTTTTTTCTCGACCGAAATTTCCGAAAATTTTGTTATAATGGAAAGCACCCCATATTACTCCTGATGCCTGAAAGACGTAGCCTTTCGGGCGGAGCCTTCCGCATACTGTAGGCTATTATAAGGAATGCGCCTGCCGTTTCATATCAGGTACAAGAAAAAGGGTCACCGGCAACATCATTTTATTACTGACCCCGTGCTTGAAAGGAATGGGAGACGAGTGGATGTTCAGACGTAGACGGTGATCGAAGAATGACGCAACAATAGACGGATATAATAAAAACGTCAATACCTCTAATCCTAAAAGTAAATTAAAGACCAAAGAGTTGAAAGAAAGAAATGTTATGACTTTTATGAGATATCTCAAAATGAAGTGAAAGAGCGAATGAGTTAATCAGCCAGTTAATCACCCGTCACCATCCTCCTTAAATTTAACTACCAAGAGTAATTAACAGAAATCAAAGAGTGGAGCACGTAGGTAATAACTGTTTGTTGCTTTGTTTGTATGTACCTCATGATCTGTATTTGCATAGTTTGTCTCTCCTCCAAATGAGACCATCTAGTTTCCGTTTGGAGACAAGGCAAGTACTAGTACCTGTCCCTTCCGAGTACTGGATTTCTAAGATGGCGTCCCTTTATTATATTCTAATTGTATCCAATTGTTCAGCACTTTTTGCCGTTTTAAAAAGCAACAATGGCAGTATTTCGAGTTTTGTGGACTTCACTTGCTGACCATAGTGAAACAGGGAAGAAAAATCATCAGGAGGTTAATTGACTCCCAGTAAGCCTTAAGGTGAATGTTATCCACAATCACGGGATAACTCAAAATGAAGAGCGGATGAAGTAATTCGAGTTACATAACCCGGAGCGAGCAGCTTCTATGTAGTCGTGTCACGGCGTTTTTAATAACCAGGCTATTTTTAGAACAATTTTGGCGCGAATTTTGAGCACCTTATAAGTCCCACAAACCAGACCGCAAAACCTACAGACCTGAAAAAGGGCTCCTGCGCAAGCTATGAAACGAGGTGAATTGTTTCCCAGTAAGCCATAAGGTGAATGTTATCCACATCCACGGGATAACTCAAAATGAAGAGGGGATGAAGTACGTCGAGTTAATCACCCATTAACCTGCGATCAGGAGTTCTTAGTTTTCTTTTTCGCCTCCCAAACAGAAAGAGAAGTCCCAGGTTAATAGCCCATCGCCCATTATATTCTCCACTCCATTAACTCCGCAAAAAATGACAACCCAGAAGTGAACGAACCAAATGTAGTAAACAGAGAAGTAATATTGGAGCAAGTAGCTGATAAGGGTTTGTTTGTGATTTGTATAAGAAGTGTGCATTTATTTACTGAGTCGTTTGTTTCTGTCTTTTACCTGATTATTCGTGATTATTCGTCGTCTTGTCAACTACTAGTGCCAGTCCCTCCCGAGTACTGAACCTTCAAGATGGCGTCGCTTTGTTATTTTCTAGTTTTATCCCATGGTTTAGCACTTTTTGCCGTTCCAAGATGTTACAGTGACAGTATTTCGAACTTTTTGATATTTCCTCTACCTGCTGACCATAGCTGACAGCGAAATAGGGAACAAAAATCACGAAGAGGACTTAAAACAAAGAAGAAGGGATCGGCCTATTTTCAAGAAAAAGGTTGGTACCTGTTGGTACCTATGGCAAATGTGAGTTTTCTAATTTCTTTCTTTTCCAACCAGCCAAAATGATTATTAGTGTTTTGGTAACATGGATGATTGTAGACTGCAATTTGACTGTCAGAGTTTTATTATCCTTTTAGTTGTGCGCTACAGGTCAATTCAAAAACGACCGATTTTTGATTCGCTTGCAGACACTGAGTTTAGGTCAAGTAAAATAAGAAAGTTTTAGTCTTGCCCGTAGCTACTTAACAATGTTTATGGTTTTCGAAGATAGTCCTGTGTTGTGTTGTATCGCATACAAAAAATGAACTTCGCTTGTTTAATTTTGAGGAGTTTGTGAGCTTCAGAAAATAGTCAAAATTTGCTTACAAAAATGGCCTCCGAGGGGGTCAAATAAAGTGATGCTCGTATCTCTAATACAAGAGTAGTGAAGAACCTATGTTTATTATATTTGTCCATTACTCTACCTAACCTATCTATGATGTTAGTATGAGCATATTCTGTTGACCCCTTTCCGTTGACATTTTTAACATTTTGCCCGGTTTTCTCTGACAACCACTCTTAATACAAGCTGAAAATATATTATCAAGTGCAGAGGCGTGTAGGGGTGTCAGCTTAGAATGATTCTCCTGGGTGAAAAATCCTGTTCTGTCATTGTCATATCATTGTCATATCTCCATGACAACTGTCCATGGATTAACAGTGAATGAAACAATAATTACTTTTGTATGCTGTTCTCAGGATTGCAGCGATAAAGCAAAGAAAAAAAGAATAAAAAAAACTAAGAAAACCATCATAGAGAATCAAATAGCGATAAAGGCGTGTGGTAGATTATTTTGTTCCACGACAAAAAGCGCATGAACTGCTGTTTTACTGAATTGAGCACTGTTCATGCGACAGCTTTTATCTAATTGGCTGAGCAAATTATTTAGTGCGATAGGGGTCACACGACGGAAGTAACCCGTGAAAGGAAGTGAGCTGGTTTAATTTATTCCTCTAAAAGGATTACTGGTATGGCTATATCACATTAACTTTAATTTATCCTTTGGTATAAATTAGCTTGCATTTGTCTGCACACGGATTTAGTGAGCATAGAGTCATAAATGATAGCCAAATGGCGTGACAATAGCTACTAAAAGCGCATCACACTTAAATAAATGAATTTATAGTTATCAATGTAAATTGTATAAGATTTTAAGAATCAAACATTTTGAGCGACTACGGGGCAAATTTGCTCACAAAAAATCTAAATAGATCCTCAAAGAGGAAAAAACTACTACTATTCAGTCTCTTGCGAGATAACAAATTGAGTTTGAGAAAGCCGTTGAAGCAGGCTAACTGTAACTACGCAACAACTAGTAAATGTTACAGGGTAATGTTTCAGTGACGTTAATTTACCTTGTAGCACCGGTACCGCTGCCATCTTCACTCTCCCCCACTGATGCTATCTCATTATGTTTTTGAACCTTTTTGTTCCTCAAGGCTTCATATTCTTCCCTCTTGCCATCTGCTACGTAATTTTCTAGTCCCGCCACAACTTTGTATGTATATCGTTTGAACGGACGTTCCAGAACGTACCTAGATTCCTTTACCACCAGAGTAAATAACTTAATATTTTGAGTTCGGCCATGGACAACAGGGAAATAATGTCCCTCTTTATCGCCAAAATTTTCCTTTGCGAATTCACGTAACAACTTGTCAATCAACTAAAATGTGAGACAATAATAATAATAGTTATTATTATAATGATGATGATGATGATAATGATGATGATAGTGCTGGAAATGGAGGAAGATCTCTTCCACTGAGCTGGTTAATTACATAGAAACCGGACAAAATTGAAAGCAACGAAGACTGGAGGCTCGTTACATAACGTATAAGAAGCAAGGCGAGGCGAGAACTTAAACCGGCGGTTCAAAGAAGAAGCCAAAGAGGTTTATGCAGAGTAGCAGAGTAGCACCTACATGTAAACCAGTGTATGAGTCATCTGATGCACACGCCTAGTGAGATATACCGGTTTACGCTGCTCAAAAAATATCGGGATCGTTACCGAAGAAGAATTTGTCAACGTAAGAAAAGATTTCAACTCCTACATGGCCACCGTTTTATCGTTTAGCTATTAGCTAGCCCCGCACTATTACGTTTTTGATTTCAAACTGACCTCGGACGCGAAAATTCAGCCACCTGTTTAAAAATACAGGCGGGGAAGGCCTTTTCTTACCATCTTCACGCGTTGATCACGCTCTACGTCCAATTTTTATGCTCTGATTTTTCAAAATTTGACAGGTGAGTTCATGCAGAAAACTTATGCAGCATCTTTGACAGCTAAAGCTGACAGAGTTTTGTATCAACTTGTGATGTTTTTAACTGTCTTTCTCCACTGGATGTACAAAATGAAATACAGCTGCTATCAAGAGTCTTCTAATATTCATGGCTGGTTTGTTTATTGGGTTTTTGCTTGAGAAATGCGTCGCTTGTCAAAGTCGGAACCGATTTCGGATGGCATCGTTTTCGTTTTTCACCTAGCTTGCTTGATGCGTAAGTCAGGGTTTGAAAGTCTCAAGTGATATATTTTTTTCAACAGGAGAAGAGAAATTTCGTATCTTCAAGCGACCATGTAATGTTCTATTTATTATATAAACACCAATGAAATACCAAACCATTGTACTTAAACATTTTTTTGGTCTGAAAGGTGCGGATTATTATGTAAGGGTTATCGGCCTGAAGCGAGGGGTTATGTGATTTATTCCCCCCGAAAAAAACAAAGGAATCCGAGCTTATGTAAAAATGAGAAGCCATAGCAACGGTGATATTTTCACTTGTGAAGATATCAAGTTTTCGCGCGAAAGCTCACTTGGTATTTCATTGGTGTTTATATAATGATGTATATATCTAATGTCGTGAAGGCGAGCACAGTTAATTTATGCGCCAAGTTTATGCACGTTTGTAACATTTGAGACAATGATCTGATCTAGTATCAGATTTGATATAAGCTTACAGAACTCTGAAAGGGCGTTACATATATTTTCTCACCGCAAGTAGAGATTTGTAGACATGGACCAAATTACACTCAAAAAATGTAAAGAAAGCAGCCGAACGTAGTCTAATCAAATTCTTTTTTCTCGCAATCAACCGACGCAATCTCCCTCTTTTTTCGTGCAAAGATTCAGATGAAATCAAACTACTATAAGATGAAACTGCATCAGTTTCAGACCTAATCGTTTTCTTTAGATAGTAGCTAATTCTATCGATAGCATGTTCATTCAGTGTTTTTCTGACCCTTAAAACTTTGTTCAAAATATTTCGAAAACGCTCTCATAGAATTTGCTCAAACTTTATCATAATCAAGGCAACTAAAAGAGGGGGAAGCACCCTTAAGCGATTTTTGAAAAAAAGTAAACTCCTGGTACCGAGAAATACAAAGGCAAGTAAATAACGTAGCGTCATCACGTTTCCATGGTAACTCTGATGTCAATAAAACATGTATCATAACAACTTTTCATCTTTACATAGTACAACTGTGGTAACCTTTTTCCGATATCTTTGTTAATGCCGAAGCAGTAAACGCTTTAAGTGGGGAAGTATACCCCCTAAAAAAGACCAGCCGAACCTAACAACGGATTAGTGATATCGGTTGGGATTACTCCAGGACTACACAGTGCTTTTAAAACACTGTTCAGATCATGTTTAAAGAACAGTTTGGTCACACTGCGCACGACTATGGCTGAAATGATTTTGATTATTTGGAAGTTGATCAGTTAGCCATGAAGTTTAATCTTTTTGGTGCTAATTGCTCAAATGTTTACAAAAAACATTAAACTGACAGCGCGTTTCGAGAGATTCATGACCGAAAAGAAAGTAAAACTAAAGGGAAATACGCAGAATAAAGTGCAAACAATTAAATGGTTTTTTGGGCTATACGACGGAGGCAACGACCAGAGAGGGTACTGAATTTGACTTACCGCCATAATACTTCAAGCTTGTCTGTGCGTGTTCAATCCTCTAAAAATAGAGATATGGCAATCAGGTGAAAGCAAAACTGAAATCCATGTTTCTATCTACTGTTACATTTTTCTGGTTCTGTGGTCCTCATCAATATTTCGTTAATATTAAGGAAATGCCATTAAAAATTTTGGTAGGACGTTTACAAAAGAGTTAATTCCTATCGGTGCTTAATACTCACAGTTATCAACATAAATTTGATAGTACACAAAGTGTTCACTGATTACGGTAAGAGATATTAAGACGGAAACCACTGAAAACTCTTGCTATCTAGAAACTTTAATTGTCGCGTAACGACACGGTCTGAGTGACGAGAGTAACCTCAAAATAAAATAAATTAGAGTTCAAACCATTTGATCGCTTAATTACATAGACGATTTAAACAACTGCCATTTAAGAAACAGCTTTTCCAGAATTTTGAATTCAATTATCCACATTTTCCTTGCTTATAAGATACTCCAAGCTATTGGCTCGAGTTATTGTTCTGATATTTGTCTGTCTGTTAATTTTGTTGTTGTTTGTGTATTTCTTTTTCTATTAAAGGTCTTCTAAAATGTTCCAACTCACATTTAGCTAGGTGAAGTCTTCTATTTTTCTATTACACATTAAAGCCTGTGAGTGCGTTTAATTTTTGTTTCATGCTATGACGTTCACATCAGTCTTTAACCCTAAATTATGGATTTTTTTAATGATCGCTTTTGATCGTTTTGGTTGTGTACGCTAAAACTTTCCGCTCTCCCTCTTAGCAAGGATGTTTCGAGCACGGTTTTTAGTCATCTTACCTTGCGGAAGAAATTCTGTTTCTGAAGAGTTTGATTAATTCCTGATGCTTTAGGAAATCTGCTTCGAGCTGTCTGAAACAAAATTATGAACAGTTTCTGAATTCAATAATATTTACCTCAATTCGTTCCCAGGGTCTCTCATCTGATCTTCCCCTCGCCTATTTTCCTCCAATGAGTGTTAAGTATCGAGTATCGACGCTTCCTGCTCTGTGCTCAAACGCAATGCTACTATTGGAGAGGGATGGTGACGTAAATGCGCACACTTCTTGTTTTCTAATAAAGTTACAAAATTGTCATTTCATAAACTATTAGTGAGAAAAAATAGCTGAATTACACTTTCTCCGAATATTTCGGTTCTTTTTTTTTGTTTTCTGATATATGATGTTAAAAAATCAAAATTTTACGAATGGACTGATGGTCGAATTAACTCCTTTACACCCAGAAATTGTGCGTACCTTCATGGCTGATACTTCCTTAAGTATTGCATGAAAAAAGCTAAAAATTGCACAGATTATTTATTCAATCTTGTGATTCAATATTGGTAGTTGCTTGTGTTGAGTTGTATTTCAGTTTTGAAAGGTGATCCTTGTTTAGTCCTTTTTATAAAATTTTAACGATACGGCAACAAAATTTAAACAAAGACGTCAGCAAAGATTCCCCCAGAACGCACGATTTTCATGTGTTAAGGACTTGAATGAATGAAAGAATGAATTAATTAATATCCTTTATTTAAAGGGAACCTCCACTCTTACTACAGAATAAGTTTAAATCGAATAAAATTATGTTGATAAACAAATTTGTTCGAAATTTGTCCTTAAAAAAGTGTTTATATCAGGAAAAGTCAATTTTAAGATCGCTTATTTTCACTTTTAAATTTCGCGGGCGCCGCCATCTTGAATAATTGTGACGTGTCACGGTTGCTCTATTGTTCTGACACAAAGAGCTTTTGTTTAATAACAATAGGGCAACCGTAACACTTCACAATTATTCAAGATAGCGACGCCCGCAAAATTTGAAAACAAAAATAGGCGAATCTAAAAGTTATTTCTTTCGGATACAAACGCTTTCTTTAAAAATATTTTAGATTGACTTGACTGTAACAGTTATTTCCTGTGATTTAAAGTTATCTTTTTGTTGAACTGGAGGTTCCCTTTAAACACGATGAATATTAAAGCAGTAAATTGCTTGAGGGTTCTTGTGTGCTAAAGAATTCAATACATTCATATCTAATGACTTATCTCTTACTCAGTGACCACTACTGATCACTTTCTTTGATCATGGATCTTATGAGAGTTTAAAACAAGATATTCATTTCTTCATTATTATCCGCCACAAAAACGAAAAAGGAAAGAACGTAAATTAGAGAAATTAAGTTAAATGTTTTCTACCTGAATCGGTTATGTTTCGTTCACATACAAACTCAAGCATCAGAAAACCGTGAAAAGAACATTTAACCATATCATCAGGCAAAAGGGACAGTGCATTTCATAGGTATTGCTTCTTAGCTAATACGAAAAAAAATACTGCATTATGGCATTAATACACGAAATCTGACAAATATATACATCATGCCCTCTTCTCACAAGAAACATATAGAGATAAAGGAGAGAGGGTGTGATTTCAGGTATCGATATGATTGACTGAGCATGTCGTGTTACGAAAGTTCAATGACATGTTTTCCTCACAGTACATAAATATAGTAGCAGAAAGGAACAAAAACAAAAAACAAGACTCGAAAACATAACCCGCTAACCCCGCACAGAAACACGCATAACCAAAACGGAAAATGATAACCCAACGTCAATCTGGACTGAGAAACAAAGATCCCAAACAGAAATACACTATCCCCAAAAGGAAACACAAACAAATCCAAAATAGAATCACCCACCAGGCCTGAGTGACGTATATCCCAAAATATTAAACAGAAACTCACCCAAAAAAAGAAAACAAAATGCAAAACAGAATCACAGACCCCAAAACGAAAACACGAAATGGAAAAAAAAAGTTTGCTACATATGAATCAGGCATTGTTTAGACACTGATTCGCTCCATGTATGGTAATCTGGTATACTTTCTTGAAATAACCACATTGACACAATTCTTTAAAAAATCAGTAGAACTGTTGGGCTGTTATCGAAATTGCGACATTTTGTTCCCTTTAGCATACTTATTTCCATTTATCACTCTCTGATAACACTCTATCTTCGATACGGTATAATTGAATGGGGCCAAGCAAGCAAATTACAACTAAACAAATTTTCTAGTCCTCATTTAAGACGCGTCTTATTTTTCCACGTATAAATGGCCCTAATGTCTGACTTGAGAAACAACTTAGTACCTACAAACATTCAGGAATTGTTCCTTCCACTTTCTCGTGTACATTCATACGGCACTAGGTTAGCCTGTGAACAGGCCTTTGGTCTAGTGGGGAACTAGGGAGAGGGAAAAGCAATTTAATTTAAGCAATTGGAAAGAAGAACTTTCATCTACAACCGCAGTTCAAAAATGAATTATTTCATATATACCTCACATCATTTCACTCCTCACGGGAGATATGAACTCAATAAATTGACCTCGCTCCCAATGTGTGGCTTAATAGCTCAGTTGGTAGAGCAACGCAAGGTAACGCAGAGGTCACGGGTTCGAATCCCGTTGAAGCCCCGATTTTTTTCAGGATTCTTCTTTCCAATTGCTTAAATTGGAAAATTTACTGCGATGATCATTCTTCACTTTCATCTACAACCGCAGTTCAAAAATGAATTATTTCATATATCCTTCACATCATAAGCAAAACTCGTTTTAAAAGGAGAGAATAGGGTGCCTCTTGCTCCTTTGAATTTTTAAATATAAAATGTGGTAATCTCTATTAATTTTTCAACTAATAAACAAATGGAAGAAATAGACATTTTCAATTAAATTAAAACTGAAAACGCAACACAACGCAAAAACAAAATAAACTTTTATTTATGGACCTTTAATTTTTAATTTTGCCGAGCAGACACACGAAAATGGCTAAGAACTATAAGTAGCTACTTTAAAATTCTATTTATCGAGCCAAACTCCTCTCCAACAAAGGCAAATTATACATCAAAAGAAACGAAATTTCCTTAGTTTTCAATTCTAGCGGTGCATTTATAATGAGGGCATGCGCAGACGAGATTTTGCTTTAGGTCCTCGCGTGGTCGTCGTGCTGCGTGGGAAATTGGCTTCAACTAATCAAAAGCACTACCAAGATCTGTGTATAGCAATGCGTCATCAGTATGAAATTTCTGTGCTCGTTTCTCAGTCGTCATTTCGCGGGGAAACCAGTGGTGGCGCAGGTGAATGTCGGCTGTTTTCTCGCGCTACCTAAATTCCTGCTTGATGACAGGCTACAGCTTGCCAGTACCGACAGGCCGATTTTTTGGGTTCTTTATTTCTCGGCCATTGTCCTTGAAACGACGATTCCCTTTCAATAAAGAATTGATTGCGAGGGACTTTATGCTCAATCAAACTCGGAAAAACGGTATAATTTTTTTGGTGAGAGGGAATAAAGTTATCACCGCGTAAAAGTACTTGGTCTGAACGTGTCTTCTAATGTGCTTCAATTGATCGCCCAATTTGTTGTAAGGGAATCCAAGTCAGCCTTGAATTCTGAATTCCAAGCTGTGGATTCTGGATGCTAGATACGGATCTCCGGTCCTTGTCATTGGAACTTGAATTCTGGGTTCCTTGAGTTGTATTCCGGATTCAAAAGCCTAGGATTGAGGATTCCACAAGGAAAAATTTTCCATATTCTGGAACCAATATTCGCTTAATTGGGGCAAAATTAATGGCTGTGATTGTCTTTATTACTGGGTGCAGTCAGAAATCAGAGGGTCAGAATGGGTGTACCCAAGAAGGGCTTACAAAAGATTAACAGTATATTTCGCAATGAAAAGACAGTGCGATAATCACGTGAGGCAATGTCAATGGCGGTGAAATCTTTTAATCTCCAAATATATTATAGTTAACGCTGGATGTTGTGATTAGAAAAAACTAATACTGCACCTATTCTACGTACTTTGTAATTCTGCAATTTCTACAGTTACAATTTAAGAAATAGAAAAACCAAAACATAATTCATAAACCGTTATGATCTCGCCGTTCCTACTTGCTGACATCGGGCATTAGCCAGCTTACGTAACAGGATGGCAGAATGGAAAAGAACGGAAAACTTTCGGGCGTGACAAACGTGGCAGGGCTATAACGTACGTCTTTGTCGTAATCGGGTGTTAGAAAAACTCGGGATCGGGTCGGGGTCGGGGTCAGGATCTATCTTTTTTGAAATAATGCTGTTTTAAGGTGAGGGTTAAAGTTAGGGTGGCTCCGACCCCGACCCCGCGTTTTACTAACACCCGTCGTGATGTTCACAAACAAAACATCTGTTTAAAAAACGGGGAAATTTGGCGAAGAGCGTTTTGAAACAAAACCATTCTACGTTTGTCACACACGGTTTGCTGTCTTCTTTACTCCGCCGTTCTCTTGAGTAAGTTCACTATTAAGCGCTCTACGATCCTCATTAATTCACATGACTTCTAATCAGGTGATTCTAGATGAGTGAAAGCAAAGGACGAGTCATCGCAATAATGACGATCAGCGGACCACCGAGGAAACAATAGTACGAATCGATACGCCATGAGTGTGGTTTAATAACGAAAATTTCTTAATCACTAGCAACGGCTATGCTACACTTAGACACGCTCAACAAATCTAAACGACTCTATCATACGCAAATAAGAAATCTTTCATTATCGTGATGGTTTGACGTAACTTTAAATCTCTCAGAACTAGTGGCACCAACGTTTAAGTATGCAACAGCCATGAGAGACATTCACGAGATTTAAACGTTTTACAGACATCTACATCTTACAAATTGAATATCAGCAGACACAATCTCGGTCATAATCATAATCGCTGGAAGGCTACCTTACCGATCTCTCCCCCTAACCCAACGCCCCCGCCTCTTCTCACTCCTTCTATCTTTCCACCTGTGTTATTAGAGGAAGAGAGGTAGAAGCAACACGTGTACCCTCTCTCACGTGCGTCCTTAAAAGGTTCAAGTAATTATGACCGGGATTGAAAGTAAAGTAAAAAAAAAAACATATTTTATTCTTACGTTTACAGTACTATTTTAAACCCTGATCGCACCTTACAGATACATGTTAGACTCGAGATGCGATCATAAAATTGCTTCAAGATGATAGCAAAGTCAGTCACTTGACTTCAAAGGCTCGTCCTGCGCAGCCCCGTTTGTTCCAGTTTCATTTTTCTCAGACAAACCTGTTGGATGAATTTAGAACATAGCATTTTAATACAACTGTCAAAAATTTATATTGCTACGCCGTATCTTGAACAAAACACAAATCTCCCAACCTTGTGGAAAGAAAATAAAGAGGAGGCAACTCTAGCTACAATGTACACTGTGCCTCAAACCCATCTATAATAAGAACAAAATATTTCGGAATGATTCCTCGGACTCTAGCAACAATGTGCACTGTTCCCCAAAATCCATGTACAATAAAAAGAAAATATTTCAGAATTATTCCTCAGGTCGTGATTTAAAGCTTTATCCCGTTACAAACTCAAAAATGTTTTAAATGCTTTCCATGTCATATGTTTTCTTATATGTTTAAGAATCTGCACCTAAAGATAGTTTCTAATTACACTTTGAGGTATAAGCCAGCACTTAATAGATTAACCTAACTAATTGTTCGCAAATATTATATAATTAAATTCAATCTATCTGTGCAATTATACAATCAAATTACGTCGATAAACACGCTATAGAAGAGCTACAACAGCGGTCAACTGCGTACCTCAAATCAAAGTAATGACTTCCATTTTCTTCTTTGTTATTTAATAAATCAATCAATAAATAATAAACAACGATTAGAGGTAGCACATCTACATTCCTGGTGCAATTGGACTTTGGAAATGTTGGTTTTCCGGAGAGGGGAAAGCCGGAGTGTTATGTACCAAGGAAAACGTCTCGGAGCAAAGGAGAGAACCTCACATAACTACGATGCCGGGATTTAAACTCGAGTCACATTGGTGAGAGATGGGTGCTCTCACCACTGCGTCATCCCTCGTACACCCGTTTTCAAAAAGGTTTTCAGATAGAGATATATATATAGATACATATATACTTTTGTTTTCTTGCGCGTGCGCCCGTGTGCATCTTTCACCCGCTATTTCCTAACTTGTGAAAAAACTCGGTTCAACGATAAATTTTTTATTCTTCGGGTTCTTTGTTCCAATTTGAAAAGAACATGTTGCTGAGTTTTTTTTAGAAAAGTGCATGCGCCCTGCAATACAAATTTGCAATGGCTAATTATATTGCTGATTATAAGCCGTCACACAGAAAACAATTTTTTTTTAATATTCTGTGTCGTTCCGTAGAAACGGAAGTCCCCAAATTGGTAGGCCATTAATGTCATGGCATCTATAACAAGTGGCGAAGCATTTTTGTTATAGAGTGTATTATGCGCCGTCCAGGGACGTTCTTAAGAGAAACTGTAAACTAACTTCAAAACATTATTTTGTGGCCGAGAGTTTATTCTGTCTTCAGTGAGACGTTGTCTTACAAGATGTGATTTTAAACAAAAAAAAGCGAGGCATAAATATATATGACCAACTCATCAACGTCTTGGTCCGTATTAATAAACTGCTATTTGTTGCTCCTTCTCACATATCCAATATCGCGGACATCATTCACCGTACATCTTCCTTCTGAGAAAAAAAAAATAGCAGTTTCGAAAACACTTTTTTTTCCATTTCGTCTCCGTTGTCGCGGAAATTAAAATTTTTGAGGTTTTTCCGCTTATCCTGTAACGACAACAATTATATGACCTACAACTGACCGAATTCCGCATTCTTTAATTTTCAAGAGCATGCAAAACAAGAGAATTGCAGACAATATTTGTGCATTCTTTTTTTTTTTTGAGAAATTAGAACTAAGGAACCTGACGAAGACAAAATTCATCGTTGAACCGAGCTTTTTCACAAGTTGGACAATAAGAAGTGAAAAATGCTCAAGGGCGCAAGTGCAAGAAAATAAAAGTATATATCTATCTATATATCTCTCTATATGAAAACCTTTTTGAAAACGGGTGTATATTTAACAATTATTCTTTGAAATCGAGGTGAATAGTGGCAAAATATTTACCGAGCCGCGAAAGCGGCGAGGTAAATATTCCCAAAGCCACTATTCACCGAGATTGAGAAGAATAATTGTTTTAGTATATACACACGAAGTGATCTCAACAAAATCAGAAAGGAAACCATTCAAAAGTAGGATTTGATTGACAGATCAAATCACGCGTAAGTTTAAAATAGATCTTTGCAGAATTTTCAAACATGGCAATTCACAAGTTTACTCATTTCGCAAACAACAGCGTAATGGCTTCAATGGAATCGCTAAAAGTTTGAACTGTTTCCTTACCTGAGAAAAAAAAAAAGTAGAGCTGTGTTGTTTTCTGTTGACTCGCCAAGTTTATAGCCAAAAGGGCATGTTGTGTCGTTCTTCGCATGAAGTGCTGACAAAAATGGCGGCTCGGTTGCTCGAGGTAAGAGGTCGTCTTCCTGTATCATTGTTTTTCCTGTTTACTTGAAATGTAGAATTTCTGCAAACATTTCCTTTTAAATTTGTTTCTCATAAATAAACTTCGATTTTTGAGCCAAAATTTTCTTCTTAGAAAACGCTGAGTTCACGAAACGGCTTCTTCTACGCGAATACACGGGAGTTGTAAACAATCCATCGAGCACAAAACTCCTGCTACAGTAAATTGAAAAACGCCGTATTGAATCCTTCCAAGTCTTTTCTTGCCTTAAAAAAAGTCAGCCCTAGGATTTTGTCGACTTTTAAAAGATCGTTCTCTGAAAAAACGGGAAAAACACCGAGCTCACACATTATCCACTCGCTAGGAGGTGAATATTGCTGAATAGTCCGAGATAGCGAACCAATCAGATTGCTTAAATCACCAAGATCACTGAGTGTGTATATACTAATTATATATATATATATATGTATGTATATGATCTTACCGTTATCGTTCTCATCGTCCTCCTCGTCCTCATTACATCTTAGAAAATCTTTTCCAACAACCTCTTCAGCGGAGAGTTCCAATCGATTTGTTTCCTTGTTAAACACAACGCGGCAGCACTTGAACAGGATTGGTCCTCGAGTGTTCAGCCTCGTTGCTATATTTGGAGGAATTTCAATCGTCTTGCGTGTTTCTTTCACCCCTGGGGGATTTACTTCTGCGTCTCCTTCGATCTTCAAAACCAATGTTCAAATGAGTAAATAGAGAAGTACTTTGTCCACCGAATGGCAGCATTAATGTAAACTGAGGATTATTTTTTGGCTGAATTTTGAAAACATCTTTGATTAGGCAAGAGTCTATGGTAATGCATCTTTCCGGATCTTAAACTTTTATTTCTTATCAAGAGACCACTGTAATTCACACTCTGCCATACTCAATCTACAACAGTACAGCCCATCACAAGAAAAAAAACTTGTAGCTTCAAGAACGTGCAAGATCGCTTATTTATAAGTGAAAATGAAATTAAACACTCCTTTTCTCTTCTCACTTATTCATCACTTTAATATCAGATATGACTGAAAGTGGTATAGTAGTGATGAAATTAACCGCTTTTGCGCTGCTATCTTATTGACTTGTGTAATAATACATGAACACCTACGCATTATTGACCCTTTGTCGATCCCGCATTTTATTCATTAGAGAAAAGACAAAAGCCTATGAAATCATCTTTGCCGTCCTTGATGTTTTGTGTAAGTTAATGAGATTTCTGCGCAGAAAGGTTACCGTATTAATTTCATCACTACTTTACTACCATGGAATAGTTTTCCGACAGTAAAATACCTTGTTCCTTCTCTTGCCTTTAACTTCAAATCGCTCACTGAAAATTACTGAGATTATCAAGCTCAGTTGTTGGTCTTCGAAGACATCTGTTTTTACGTTGTCTAGATCTGTTTTAGCCAATACTTCACGTAGGTCCGGATCACGTATGTATTCCTGATCAATTCTTCCCAGCACTAGGGATCCCAGATCTTCACTTATCTTGATCCCTTTCCTGCCAAAATTATCAGCGTCTCCTCCAATTTCTACCGACCTGAATTAAAGAACTCAAATAAGTATTCGCATGAGATTTTAGAGGCTGGTGCAACATGAAAAATTGGTTAGTACTGCACTACTGGGTAAAAAAAAACTAAACAGAAAAATCCTTGCATGGGTGGAGATTATCAGGAGAGGTGATATTTCTTAAGTTGACCAGATAGTTTCTACAATATTTCTTTTCATTGCAATAACCTAGTAGTGATCTCAGTTCCTCAGATTTTACTTTGAGTTTTTTTTTTTTTTTTTTTGGATACCAGAGTCGCTTTGACCTTTCCTACCAAGTTATCTAAGAAGAACGAAGTAAACTGATCAACTCGCAAGGTACCCCAAATCTGATCAGAGCAAAAAGACGTTTTTATTTTTTTTATAAACCATGTTTCATTACTGTCAATTTAATATTTACCTTCCAGCTCCTTTATCATCTACATTTTCACCCTCTGGTAATATCCCGCAGTCTTCTTTTACGATGTATTTCTTCATCATGGCCTCAAATTCTTCAGCGTTTTCCTCAGCTGCGTACCTTCCTAATTCCGCAAGAACGGTGTACCTCTGCGGTTTGACTTCACATTCTTGATCGGATGTAGTAGGTTTGTTTACTACAAGCGTAAGTAACTTTATATCTTGGGTTCGGCCATGGACAACAGGGAAATAGCTTCGTTCTCGATCACCAAAATTTTCCTTCGCGAATTCACGTAGCAGCTTGTCAATCAACTGAATGCAAAATATAAAAAAAAAACACTGTTACTCCGTATGATTAGCGTAATGACTAAGTCAACTGAACAGATTCAATAATAAACATTCACGAGTCACGTTATCGAACTGCTTCAATCTTACGAATACGTGCATGAATCTTGTCAAAGTCGCCGGTGTGTACCTCTTCCAAACAAACGTGCGTTCTCACATTTGGAGCACAATGCATTCCAAAAGTCGTCCTCGCGAGTTTCACGGCAGAAAGAAGCCATAAAGCGAGGTGGAGGGGAGCGATATTAACTAAATGAGACTAGTCTATGGGATAGGGTGAGCGAGTACATGCAAGCGGTACGTTTCCGGTACACCCGAATTCTTTACTCCGCTTTCGAACGCCTGTCAATCAAGCGTTCATCAACAAGGCATCTGGTACCATAATAATTGGCTAAAAAGTCATGTATGACTTCCCTGTTTATTACAATAAAACCCCTTCCCACGTGTAAGAACTTGCATTTTTGGACTTCTGGCGAAATAGGTTCCTGTATTTTTAAGTAGTGATTTGCAATTCAGCCTAAGAATATTAATTCGTAAATTCGGTTTGTATTTTCTGTGAAGGAAATATAAGACTGCTGTAAAATTTCGAATTTCAAAGTCAAACTTCTTGGTTAAAATGTTTGTCATAATTTATGTGTACGTCACAAAAAAGAACTTGCTTGATCTTGCTTGGCCAAACAGGTACAGCTCTAATGTTAGTATTTTGATTGTTAAAATAGCAAATTTTTGACAGCTTAAACTACCAGGTTCTTACTAGTAATATCAGTATTATGCGTATATAAAATATACCGTTCATCATCGAAACTGAACACACGTGAATCAAAGAGTAAAAAACTGAAAAAAAGCAAGCAACTTACATATAAATTAACCTTTTTGTGGCAAGACTCTGGATTCAAGAATCAGGGAACATATTATATTCAACTTACCGCCATAATACTTCAACCTTGTCTGTGCGCGTTCAGTCCTCTAAAAATAAGATATGGGAAAGAAACTGATCAGGAATGAAATTGAAAACCATATGCTTCTATAATTGTTTAGGTTTGTCTTCCTCAGTTATCCTGAATTTTCAATATCTTGGAGAAACGGCTCTAAGATTTGACGTTGACATTTGAAAAAAAAGGTGATTTCAACCCTTTCTTTCCTTTATCTTATTGGTAAACCTCGAGATCCGATCGAGAGGATCTGGACATTCATTTGCTTTTTCTATTTTTATTTTATTTTATTTTTATTGGAGGGTGAGGAAAGGTTAGGGGGGCTATATATCTCATAATTTCCAAATCAACAGTCTGCAAACACAACTGAGGGTTTGATTGTAAGAAAGGAAAGAGGGACAAATAAACCGTTAATTAACATGCGAAGGAGTTTAGTATTAGTATACAAAGGGAATAAATCAAATTTCTTTCCTGGTGCATATTAGTTCTTAAACACCACACGACGCCTTCGTTGTTGGTGTTCTTAAACGTGTCGCCGTAACTCGGAAAAAAAAAGAGGTTTTAGGACATTAAAAAAATCAGGTTCGCTCTCAATTCAGTTTTCAAGGCCTTTCTCAAGGCCGGAAGCGGTTAACATTTATTCCAGACCTGAGTGTTGCTGCTATTTCTTGCCATAATTGGGCTCTTCGATCTAATCACCCTAAACTCGTACACTCCAGACGGATTTAGTTCCTTGCATTTTTACAATGTTTGGTACTAATTCCCTTTTTTTTAACTCCTTGTCTTTAACAGTGGCGATATACTTCGCCCAGTATTTTCCGCAGTAAGTTTTCCTGAGCAAACTATCCTTAGTATAAAAATTGAAGTTTCTGCTTTTGCCCCTTTGTATTCTCTGCAAAGAACGTTTCCAAATTGGGTAAGGATACCGTGCAGAAGCATTCTCTTTCACTCTTTCACTGCACGTCTTTTCCTTTCTTACAATCAAACCCTCATTTGTGTTTGAAGACTGTTGATTTGGAAAATATGAGATATATAGCACCCATGTCAGCCTCTAACACCTAAATATCGATCTCCGCCAATTTCGTATGCCTTGAATTTTTCGAGTTTTTTTTTTACTTATATTAAGAAATGGAGTTATATTAAGGGAGGTTTTCAGTCACCTTACCTTACAAAAGAAAAGAATTGTTATGATGTAATCTGTTCAGTCTTCCTGCAGGTTAAGTAGCTGAATCCCTTCGAGCTATTACTCAACAGTCAGCCTCGTTTCAGACCCTTTTATTTACTGCCCTGAGTCTCATTAAATATTTGTTTATCATCTCGCCCTCTGGAAGCTGATTGGCTGAATAAAGTGTGATAATTGCGGATAACCCAAGAATTTTTATGGCTAATGACTTTTATTTCTACCTGCTTTATTAAGTAATGATGTGTTTCATAACCCTTTTCGTATCATGATGATGATAATGATGATGATAAGGAAAGGATATGGTTGTTTTCTCTTGGTCAGGTCAAGTTTTAAAATTTGAAAGGGCAAAATAAGGCTCGGCTCAGTAGATGTTTATTACCACTCAATGCCATGTTTATATCCAGTACATGAAAAAATGTTCAAGTTACGCAGAAAAACAAAACGTACTCTTTATAGAGTTAAACTCGAAAACAGCATAAATATATAGATATGATCGATTAAACTGAGTATTCGTTAGCACCAATCACACTAGATGCATCATGACACAGTTTTAGGAGACGATATCAGTATAGAAAAAAAGTCATGCTACACAAACCGAAATAGCTAGCAAACCGCTTGATCGGTTTCGTAGCCTATATTTACATTTTCTCCTTTAAACATACAGTTTCATCGAATGTGAAATGTTATTAGCAATACTAAAGCTTTTTTAGATATCCTAAGCTCATAGACCATATCGGAAAGGTTGCCATTCGTTTAGTTTTTCTTTTGGATTCATATTAAAATCAGTCTTACTAGCCTCGTTCTTGAGTTCAGAAATCGATCACAGGAATACCCGTCATCTCGAGCGAGGTTAGTGCGATTAATTTTAATTTCAGCTAAAGAAATCTCTCCCGCTGGATAAAAATAGAAATAATCGAAAAAATAAGAACGCGCTCTCTTTTCCTTTGTCCCCAGCCTACCCACAACACAAAGAGGCCTTTGCGGAGGAAAGAGGCTAAAGAATATTAGTAAAATCTAACTAGTGGTCTATTAATAATGCTGCGTTCTGATTGGTTGAGCTATCTACAAGGCTATATGTTATAGCCCTCTAGTAGCGAAAAGCGCCGGCTTTGAAAACCAAAACAATGGCGGCTGAATCGCGTTTAGCTAGCTAAAAATGTTTTGTCCCCGTATTTTTGACCAACTAGTTGGATTTTACTAAAACAATTATTCCTCTCACCCTCATGGCCTCTGAGTTAATAGCTCATTCGGCCTTCGGCCTCACGGGCTATTGACTCAGAGCCCATTCGGGCTTGAGAAATAATTGTTAATTATTCCAGCGGCCATTTTTAAATTGGGTCTATGGTCCGAAAATAGCAGTCTAAGGGTGGTCTCGTGGTTTTTAATTGCTTTACCTCTCACCGGGTTAATTACAGTTTTCACTCTTAGTTCTAGTTATGCCAATAATCCATACGTACATATACATATTTTTTTTTTTTGTATTTTATTTATTTATTTTCTTTTTACAGGTATAGTACAAACAACATACAGATCGAAACATACAAACATTACGAAATTTACAACAACTACCTTAATTACAAAAAAAAAAAAAAATAGAATAAATAAATAAAAAGCTACACTGCACTACACTACAAGGCTTACATAACTTATTCGACTTGAACTTAAAATACAGAGTAATACAGGGAGTATTAGAAAAACGAAGTTTGGATAACAGCTACTGTTGTATTAATGGGAGTAACGGCTTCCATTTTTTATCATGGAAATGGATTTTGTTGTTTCTTTTCGCGATAAAACGTTCGGTTTGAAACGTTTTTTTAAATTTATCGACTAACAGTCTTACACATAAACAGCCCTTATTTAACTTACAGCGGTAAATAAAATATTTGCTTTCAAGAATGATGTAATTGACTAGAATGCTTATATTATCTGTATCTAAGATCCCAAAAAGGACATTCATGATATCAAACCTAATAGTTATATTAAAAGAATCAAGTACAGACTTTAAATCATTCCAAAACATGCTTACTTTTGTACAATGGAAAAAGAGATGTTCTATGGTCTCCAACTCCTTTTCACAAAAATCGCACAAGGGAGAATCTACTTTTTTGAACTTAAACAGCATCTTGTTCGTGTATAAGATCCTGTTTAATATTTTATATTGGAATTCTCTTAATTTAGTATCCAATGTTGTTTTGAAGGGCAGTAGATATATCTTTTCCCAGTCCAACTGAAATGTGTGTGTGCTGAAAGTTTCGTTATATTTCTTTTGCGCTGTTGGTATACTGGATATCTTAGAAACAAAACTGTCATATAATGACTTTGATTTAAGATTTTGGAAATTGACTTTTTTCCCTTCAATACGTAACTTGAAATCAGTTTGGATTAGATCATGAGTTTTTGAAGAGATAGAGTTTTTATTTGTTTTTAATATTTTGCGCCATTCTTCAGGAAAAGCATTGAAGAGACTGAAAAGTAGAAAATGTTCAACTGGTGAAAGAGTTGAATATAATGGTTCCTTGTTCGACTTGAAACCTCCCCACGTGTCGTAGAGGTCTCCAATTTTTACAATTCCAAGATCAATCAGCCTACTGTTATAGACTGACTTTGATTCAATGCAAATGAACTGGTTGTTCCATATGACCTGATTTGCTATTTCAGAGGATGAGGAGGGGTTGTCTTCATTTAAAAGGGTCCACGCCACAATGCATTCTTTGTAAAATTCTGGAAGAGTTACCGGTAGTTTAGTGTAGTTAAAATTGCAATGAAACAAGAATTTTCCCCTACTTTCTTAAGATAAAAATTCAGAAAAAACTTCCAGCCAGCGGGATCAATGGAGAGATATCTCTTAATACAAATTATTCTTTGGGCAGAGATCATTGACTCAATGTTGGGCATTTTCAAGCCTCCTTTATCAATAGGGTTAATAAAAGCTCTGCGCTTTACTTTATCTTTTCCCTTCCAAACAAAGGAATATAGCAAAGTATTTATTTTTTTGATAAACTCTTCTTTATTTGAAATGAGAACAACCCTGTATAAAATCTTTGGTATGGCGAAAGACTTAATCACTTGAATTTTTCCAAGTAGTGTAAGACCTCTCCAGCTCCAGCCCTTCAGCAATCCTCTCAGAGATTTCTCGATTGATTCAAAGTTAAGCTTATAAAACAGTGCGTGATTAAAGGTGAAATGAACCCCTAGGATCTTTATGGCCTTACTTATTTCATTAACACCTAGTTCTGAGCTGTTTACTTCCATATTTCCTAGTAGAAGAATTTCCGTTTTGTCGTGATTGACCTTCAATCCGGAGTATGTACTAAACAGATCGATAGTATCAAAAAGGGTGCGATGCGAAAATTTGTCCCCAACAAATGATGTCATATCATCAGCGAATATAACTAATTTGATTTCGGAACCATCCACCTCAATACCCTTAATTTGATCGTTATTACGTATGGATAATGCCAATAATTCAAGTACTATTATGAAAAGAGATGGCGAGAGGGGTCGCCCTGGCGAACACCCCGTTTAACATTGAAAGAGGGGTGGAAAAACCATTATTGAAAACACAACTTGATATATTATTATAAAACGTCTTGATCCACCCCAAGAAGGATTCTCCAAAGCCAAAGAACTCTAGCGATTTGTGGAGGAAGTTCCAATTTAGAGAATCGAAGGCTTTCTCAAAATCAATTGCAGTCATTATACCTTGGTAGTCTCGCATTTTAGTAAATTCCAACACATCGGTTATCGTACGAGTTGCATCAAAAATTGTTCGTCCTTTTACAGAGGCATTCTGGTCATAATGGATAATATGTGGTAGGACATTTTCTAGCCTTTTAGCGATAGCTTTTGAGCCAATTTTAACATCAACATTTACCAGAGAAATCGGTCTCCAGTTTTTAATCCATCTCCTATCTTTGTCCTTTTTCTCAATTAACGTTATTACGGCTTGCTTTTGCGAATGTGATAATTCACCATGAAAATACGCATAATTTAATGAGTCCACTAGAAATGTTCCGATTTCTGACCAGAAGAACTTGTAAAATTCTATAGTGAGCCCATCGTTTCCAGGAGTTTTATCGTTACTAAAGGTAGACAGAACCTTGAAACATTCGGAATATGTTAATTGACCCTCGCACGTTTCCCGCATTGAGTCGGTTAACTTAGGAGATGAGAGGGTATCTTCCAGAAAAGGACAAATCGAATAGTCAGTTTGTATTCCCGACTTTTCGTCATAAAGTTCAGAATAAAAACTGTGAATTTCAGTCATAATAGTGTCCGGAACAGTAGTCTCTTCTCCATTTGCTCGAATAAGTTTCCGTATGCAGCTTTTTTTCTTATTTCTGTTTTCCAGATTTAGAAAATACTTGTTGTTTCTTTCCCCTTGTTCAAACCATGTAGCGCGGGAACGAATGATTGAGCCTCTTACAATGTAATCATACTCTTGTTCGTATTCTGTTTTGACCGATTCGAGGTTGGCAAGGTTTTCTTGCGTCGGTGATTCTGCTATTTTTTCCTCACATATTTTAAGCCTGTTTTCAATTGTTTGAATTCTATTTCTCCTTTCTTTAGCTTTCAGTTTGCTATACGATATACTTTCCCCGCGAATTTTGTATTTCATCCAGTCCCATTTAATTCTCGAATCATCGCAAAAATTAATTTCGTCTATCCACTTAGGAAAGTTCTCGCGTAAACGCTCAACGAAAAAAGCGTCATCCAAGAGACTGTTATTGAACTTCCAAAAAGATGGGCCACGCTGCTGATCATTTAGACTGTCAATTTCTAAAGTTATTGCATGGTGATCCGTTCTTATAGCTGTCACTATGTCGACTTTAGCTACGTCATCTTGTAATAGGTCACTAATGAGCCAATAATCGAGGCGTCTTTGAATAATTGGGCTTTTTTGTCTCCAAGAAAATTTCTTGCTATTAGGATTACGGATTCTCCAGATGTCAACTAAATCATAATTCAGCATAATGTCCTCCACACACTTAACTGAGTCTTTTAACACAGGGTTTCCACCCGAACAATCTAGGTCTGGGTCCA